AGCTGCCAAGTTTTGATCGACCACAGATCCGGTCGTTTGCGTCGCACAGCATCGGAAAGACGACGAAGGACCTCCTGGTAGTACTCCTTTGTGATGGTTTGGCCTCGTGGTGCGTACTCACGATACACCACCCCACAAGAGTGGAAAAAACTGTCAACATGATCTTGATATTGCTGCGGATCTGCTGCGCTTTTTTTGGCCTCGAGGATCGTCCCCAAAAGCCTGCTGAATCTTGCGAATGGTTTACGCTTCGATATCGCCAAGGTTTTTGGCAAAATTTGATGTAATATCGCTGCTCACGTTGTTCAGTCATTTTCCAACTTAGTGGAATCCGATGAGAGCTTGCTACATGTCCTCACTCATAGACCAACTGCCAACGACTAACGCTTCCTGCAGGCGGGAAAATTTCAGGGCTGTGCATGACTGTTCCTTCCACAACTCCACCGAAAGAGGCCTCCCGTGCATCATTGGTTTACGCGGAAAAAATAAAAGTCCGATACTTTTTGAACAGACCTCATATTTACGAAAGATGAAAGTTTAATCATCCCATCGTTAACGTTTTAATACCAAATTTCGAATTTCATCCGGGCCTTGCATTTAAATACTTTTTTGTGGGCTAGTTGATTTCTGTTCTCTGAATTTTTGTAAGTGCTTTTCTGGACATTTTATTTAAAAAAGAAACTGATAATATTATGGAGCCTAAAAAGAGAAGTGTGAAGACTGTGCTCACTGTAGAAACCAAGTAAGAGATAATAGCCAAGGTAGAAAGTGGGCATAAGATGTCTGATGTTGCTAGGCAGTATGGCTTGAACAGGTCTACAGTAGGCACAATCTTAACTATGGAAGATATATCAAGAAATCTCAAGCTGCTAATGTAGAAATAAAAAGCATTTTAGAACTCATAATGGAACCTGAAACTGATCTGACAACAGAAGAATGCTAGGGATGTCAGAACAATGATCATCCAAATGGCAAACAAACCAGAATAAGGTTAATGGGGTTGGGGATCTCTACAAATACAATGCTATTAATTACTTCCGAAAAATCCTGAAGGAAAGAGAAAAGCAATCAACATTATGGGGGTTAAAGAATCTGTCCAAATGGAAAAAACATGACTAATAAAAATGCAAGACTGCATATATGTGTATTTTTACTATTACATATAAATAAACGTAGTAAAAAAAGTTTAATCGGAGACTCCAAAAAATAATCAAATTCCCATAAAAATTGATAATTGGTTAATGAACAAAGTCTTGGAACGGATTATGTTCGTTAACTGATCACCCACTGTACTGTGCATGGGTTTTCTTTTTCTTTTTTTCAATTTAGATAGAACCTTTGATGGTCTTGCACACACACAATGCAAATTCCTTTTGTTCCTCAATCATACTCAGTAATCTAAGAGCTGTTAACATGTTAAGTGTTGTTTTTACATGTTGAATGATATTCCTGGAGACAACTTGTATTTATCTGTATCTTGGAAAAGAATCCTCTACTTTGAATTGATACAAAGCCATCAATAGTCTCATTGATTGATTTTAGAGAAAATAAGGTAAACAAGTATGCTACTACAGTGAAAAAGAAATTAAAGTTACCAAATAATTTGCTATCCATTTCTTCAGGTACAGGAATAAATTTCTTCCCATACATTGATATTCTCTGCTCAAATTGACCAACATTTTACTTTTTGTTTGAAGGTCATTGTAGTCATCAAAGAGAGATAAACTGCCAGTTCAGATAAATACCACAAGTGTTGCCTATGCTGCTGTAGAAATGATTGTAACTATCTCTGCTTCTTGAAGTTGTTAAAATCTTATGAAGAGATCTTGATTCGGGGCTTTTACAGCCATGGTTTAACCTCTTGTATGTTATAAAATAAAACAGCCAGCCTTTTCCTCCCAATCAAAAAACACTATCCATTTAACTGCATAATTCATACAACATAGTGTAAAGGCGCACAAATATATCTAACATTAACACAGCTCCATGTATAATGACCAGTCCAGATTGTTTTTGACACATTGATACTCAAGTCAACATGGGTTAATATTCATTGATTACAGAGAAATTAAATATGGACATGTTTTTGAGTGAAAAGAAAAATCTGTGGGTGTCTGAAAATAAGGGACACTAATGAATGCTCAAATTCTTGATGATGATAATTTATATAAAAATGATTAACACACATTTGGTTTTTTGAGAATTCATGTATTATGCTAAGTATATTATTTTTCTGTTTGAAGGAGTAAACCTTCTAAATTAATTTTGATAAAATTTACTGAACAAAAAATAATGTTTTTATTTCTTATAGGATTTATTTGTATGATTTAAATTTTTCAGGAGGATTGGGACAAAATGGAAGTTGAAGAACACGAAGACGATACCAGTGGCAGCGAAAGTGATGCCAATGACCGATTGTGTACATAAATACATTATACATATATATATATTTTTGGGAACCTTTTTATGATACAATTCAATGGGCACAATCGTCATCTGAAAGCAAAACTTTTAACATCAAATTTTTGTGTATAAAAAGATAAAATAAAATCATTTTGTTGCCCAATTGATTTTGCTTTTTTTTTTACAAAACATTTCATCATGATTTTTTCAAAAATGAAAATTTTGATAATTTCGATGATGTTTCACTAGATAAATTAGTAGTTGAGTTCTTTCTCTTCTTACTATTTTGCTCATCATTATCCTGTCTTCTCTTTGCTGTTGAATTCTGAAATATTAAGGACAAAGAATTATCCAGATGTTTTAAAATCCTTGCATGGCACTTTCAAGATACCAGCTGAAAATTTAAGAATATGGATTATACTAACTAGGTTTATTATTATAACTGTGTGAATATCGTTTGCAATGAAGATTTTATATGAATGGGATCTGAAAAGGGCCAAGCAAGTAGTAAAGTAGTAATAAATATAGACTGTTGTAATTTCAAATGTTAATTCTCTCACATTTTCATCATGTGAACAATAAAAGAAAAAAAAGCAGTCAAAACAAATCTTTTAGTACAAAGGATAAATTGATACAAGAATCTGTTTAAAAATGTTAAAATACTTTTGCTATCAAGAGTTATCAATGTTCTATTCCAGTAGTAATAGTAGTAGTAGTAGTAAACAAATTGGGGATATATATAGATTAAATCAGAAAATCTATACATATATAATTTGTATATATTTTAACATTATATTACATAACATTATTCAAAATAATTTGAGTATAAAAATAAATTCAAACTCATTTATCATCATTAACATTTGTAAAAATGGAAGAGAAAAAGTTTCAAACCTGCTTCTCCTCTGATCGTATTTTTTTAAAATTTTGTATTGCAATCTTGACTATTTCATTTTCATCCAGTTCAGGATTCTCTTCACTTAATATTTTTTTATTTTCTTCCAAAAATTTTTTAAAATTAGACTGTTTCTCCATTTCACCTTTATTAGTTGCTGTATTTTCTTTCTCAGGAAACAGTTTTGTTTGCTTACTTATCTGAAAAAAAATTCACACTTAATTTATATACTTATCCCCAAAATATTATAGCTAGACTTAAGCAACAAAATGTGATATGACTTCACCATTGATATAAATTTTATTAAAAAATTAACTTATTTAATGTAAATATCTTGGCAACCAAAATTTATAACCAAATTGTAAATATTGCTTTTTGTAAATGTTTTTTAAATTCAAATTTTATAAATTAAATGTATTTGATAATTAAATTAAAACCAATGTTTCAGCATTAATTATTTGAAAAGAAATGATCATTGTTCAAAACAAATAAATTCTTAAAATACATAAATACAATAAAGAATACTTAAAATAAATATATGAAATAACTTAAGTCACACAACTGTTTTCAAAATATGAGGATGACAGTTCGAAGGTTTGCACAATACTAATTTTCAAGAACTAAGAATATGTAAATGATAAAAAATTGAAAACTTTGCATGTAACTGAACAATCTTTCAATAACAAATAAATAAAAAAAAGAGTTATTTTCAGCAATATATATATATATATAATTAAATTCTAATATCCATTTGATTTTGCTTTTAAACTGTAATCTCTGATTGCTTGTTTTGAAAATGAAATGTAATCTGTATCAAATAATAAATTTCCATGTAGTTTTGTGAGATAAAATAGATCACATATCAATACAATGAAATTATCTAAAGAAGCAATGAAAACTAATTAATTAAATATAATAAAATTTTAAAAATCTTTACCTTTGATTTTTTTGGATTGTTATCTTCTGAGACTTTTGAATTTCTTTTAATTACATTTTCCAATATATTATCAATTCTAACATTACTTTGTTGTTTTTGACTATAAGTCTGAAATAAATTTATAATTTAGTTCATTAAATACATTGAAATAAATTTTTAAGAATGTATATTTATTTAACTCAGAGAAAAATTAAATTAACATAAATTTATTATGAATTAAATAAAATAGATCAGTATAAAATTATTCCTTACAATAAAGAAGTCTGTTTTCTTATAAAAACAATCTGAAGATATGATTTAATCTTGGAAATATGTATCATACAGTTTACAATAATTTTTAAAATCATTGAACAAACTGTCACTGTTTTAGAAAATTGAACAGCTTAAATTGGTTTAATATGTTATTAAATTTAATAATTATAATTACATATATAGAGAGATTCTACCTCTATGCCAAATTACTTGGTTATTTAATACTTATTTAATAGCAGTAATGTAACCTGATTTAATCTGGTAATTGTTTGGCTTGAACAGTTTGCTCGATTTTTAAAAGTTATCATTCCTGAAGGGTATCTAACTCAGTACCGGATTTCCCGGGGTTGTTTGCCTTTGCTAAGCTTGGCAAGCAGTTTTGATCTGTTCTGAAGAAATGTCCATCTCCAACTATCTTGTTAGAGAAAGATAAAAGATTACATACAAGTTTATTCCCACTAACTTACATTTGTGTCCCCTCTCAATTACCAATCTGGCATGTTTTGTTGAAAAACTTAATGATATTTCTTTAACAGAAGACAGAATAGCTACCATGCTTGCTTATGATAACATATCCTTATATCAACTTATAGCTATGTTGTGATACAATTTTGGACTTTCCCATACCTTAATTTGGATAATGATCAGCATTAGGAACAGAGCTTACTGATCTTGTATATGCTGTACATCTTTTCCTTTGACAGGCACATACACAGACAACAAAAAGGTGTTTGTATGGGAGTACTTTGCAAACTTCTGATGAAGTTAGAAACAGCAATCCTGCCTATCTTTGAAGTTAATTGGATCAATATATATCTGGAGATGTAGTGGAGATATATTGATATCCTGATTATATAGAGAAAAATGAGCAGAAAAGTAATGCACTGGTCCACTTATAAAGAGTATTTTACTTACCTTGTATAATAGGTAAATATACATTGGTGTGTACAGTAAAGATTTCTTTTATCCTTTTTACATTAGCAGCTTCCTGTGCTTCTTAGTGTACAAGGTTGCAGCTTTCTGAGCACTGATTAAAAGCCTACTCCCATTGCACAAGAGGGGAAGATAGGGAAGTAGAACCATCAATAATCTCTGAGATAGCTGAAAAACCTGGTTACAAGAAGTAATCTATTCATTGTCTTATCCAGGCCTTCTGTTCCTCACATAGATTAACTCACTTCTACAATTGACCTAAAAAGTTTGCAACATTCATGTCTGTTGATAGGATGAGTTCAATACAGGAGTTAGCAGCATTGCAAGACTATACCAGTGCTTCCCAAACATTTTCAAGCCACTACCCCCTTGGTTTATACCCAATACCCCTAAACCATTTTCCCTTCTGTTGTAAAGGCTTGGAAAATTCTTAGAAAAACTTCTATGAACCTCATACTGTACAGTACATTGTTCTCCACATCTGGAAACTATTAAATGCAATGTTTTTTTCCCATTCCTCTGTTAAAAACAGGTAAAGTCAGTGACCCCAACCCTCACCTTATGATACTCTGCCTCCATCACCTCCGTGCCACCCACTTGTTCCTTTTTGCACCCTTAGATTTATTCACTGCTCACAGGGGGATGATAGTGCCAATTTTGGAAACCACTGCTCTAGACTAATATATACATGAAATCCCGCAATTTATTGTTTGTTGCAAAACAATAAAGACAAGATTCTAGAAGAGTGCAAAACCAGAGTTTATATAGAACCATCTAGAAATACAGTGTTTCCTGAAAATAAGACAGTGTCTTATATTAATTTTTGCTCTGAAAGATGCACTAGGTCTTATTTGCAGGAGTTGTCTTATTTTTCCATTAAGAAGAATTCACATTTATTTTTGAACAAAAAAATTTCCAAGTCGAACTTAGACGAGAGTGACGTATATCTGGTCATGTCGAACTGAACTTAAATAAAACTGAAGTCACGAACCGAAGTGAACTTACAAAGTTCCCGAGCTGGAATGGACTTCCCACTTGTGCTTCAACTTAACCTTTTTATAGCATCGACATTGGGTTTGATGACAAATTAGCACTTACTGAACCGTAGCACTATGCAAATGTGATGTGGCGTGATTCCCGGCCAACCAATTAGCAATCACCAGCCATAACGTTATGCAAATCTGTGATTACCAAGCCATAGTCTTATGCAAATCATGCCGTGTGGCGTGATTGTCTGCTGACCAATCAGTGGCTGTACTTTCAAAAAGCCAACGGCCACTTTCAACCATCTGTCGATGACCGTTACCAGTAAAAAAAACCTTTGCTAGGTCCTACTTTCAGGGGGAGGTCTTATATTTAGCAATTCAGCAAAACCTCTGCTAGGTCTTATTTTCAGAGGATGTCTTATTTTTGGGGAAACACGGTAGCAACCTAAGGACGAATTCAGTCTAAGTGGGTTATACAAGTAGAAACTTTGTGCTGAGACTGTAAGAATGTAGATAAGATATGCGCATGAATAAGAACAACACAGTGCTAGTCTGTTTTTCAAGAGTGGAGATTACAGAAATCTTGTAGAATCAAGATGGGCAATCTTATATTTATGGTTACTCTAAGTATGTAGTGACAGCCAAAAGGACAGAAATATTCAGGCAAAATTTAAAGGAATTGTGCTTAAATGCAAAAGATGTGGAAACTCCACAGCATGAAAGCTCTTACCAACTAGCACTAAGATCACAACTTACATATGTGCCAGAACCAATTTTACCATAGATTTATTTCTATTCTTAGGTGTAGTTTATTTTCATTAGCTTGCATTCAGTGTACAGTACATATTTTAGATCTCTCAATATATGTTGTTGATGCTTATTTGCTTAAGAGCCATTTGCCAATTTGCTTACCATTTTGAAATGTTTATTGTTAATTTTAAGATTTTATAGCTTTCAAACAATTCTATTCTAAAATTTGAATCCTGAAGATGATCTATGTACTAGATCAAAATTGTTAAACTTTCTTGTACAATAGACCCCCCTATAACGTGGTACATACGTTCCACTTTATAAGAATTTCACATTGTAGGAATCCTTAAATACACAAGCCAATCACAGCCCGGCACGTGTGAAGTTTACGGACTACGGCTGTTTAAAAGGTTTTCTTCCATAAAATTAATCAATTCTAGACCAATTTGACTCAACATTTCCAAAATACGTATATTTTTTTGGGAATAATCCGTATAAACTATGCTATAAATTCAAAAAATTGTAGGATTACTTACCGAGTGTGCACCGTTTGACGTCACTTTTGCTTAAGCTTGTTTTTGTAATGGAGCAGCATACCGAACGACGGCCGCAATTTATGATAAGTTATTTTTCTGTGAAAAATTCATTGACCTTTGGAGACATCATTAATATAAATAATTTTTATGGCCATTGAATAAGAAATGTTTCTTTCACAAGAAATGTATAAAATTACAGTGCAGTATTAAACTTACGGTACCTAATTTACATACTGTACAGACAGTGGTGATATTCGAAATATTTAAGAAAGGGTTCGCTAACAGAAAATTTTTCCTTAACAATTTTTTTCCGCTCAAATGGTGCATCGGAAGGCTCTAGTTTAGTAGTGTTACAGAGTATAATACGTATATTTTAATATATTTTTTAAAAGAAACAAAACCACTGAGAAATGTTACATGTGTTTAACAAGGTTCAGAAAACTTTGAAAATGTTAACAACGGGTTCGGCCGAACCTGTGCGAACCCGCTGAATATCACCACTGTGTACAGATGATAATAAACTCAATTCACTCGCCTAAACTCTCTGTAGCATGGCACTGGACAATGGAAAGTATATATATAATTATAATAAAGTTAAAATAAATTAAGTTAATATATAATTATATATACAGTACCTAATTTATATATAATACTGTACAGATGATAGTAAACTCAACTTACTCGCCTAAACTCTCTGTAGCATGTAAGTAGTTCGGCTGCTTGTCTACTATTGGTCCAGATTTGACCAATCCTATCACAACATGAGTCGGCGACGAAGTTTTACGAGTCCCTTTTAGCATCTTTATACGAATACTGTCACAATTTTTTCGCCATGTTATAGGAATTTCCGTTATAGGAACCCGCGTTATAGGGGGTCTACTGTATATGTATTGTAACTTGAATATATAAGGTGATTGTGTAATTTTAATATTGAACAAATTCAACATTGGATACATTTTGAAATGTTTCAAAAAAGTTTAACTATAGTTTTCAACAAACTTCTTTAAATTATTTAATTAAATAATTAATTGGAGTTTTTTTGTATAATGAAGCCAACAAGTAGCATCCATAAAAAAGTCAACTTTGCTGTGAAAGACCACTGTGTTCCTGAGGTGTTATGATGAATGAATTGTGACAATGTTTATTGTTACTTTGGAAACTTTTTGTTTTAATATTAAAATTCTTTATTGTAAGGAATAATTCTGGAAAAATTATAATTTAAGATTATAAGAAAAATTATTTCAAACTCACCTTAAAAGGATTTTTTTGTATTGATTCAGATAACTCTTCAGTTTTCTCAATTACTAAATAAAACAATCTTTTCAGTCAACAGTATTACAATTTTTATTGATTATCACAAAATATTAATTATATTTTATTCAATCATCATTTAATTAATTAATGGATATAGCTAAAACATTAGCAATATGAAACTTTTTATAATGAATCTTATAACACTGTAAAGCTTTGCAATTTATTGATTGGTGCAAGAGTATTGTACAACATAAAATTTTAATAAAATGAAATTTTTATATTATTGTTATTGTATTAAGACATCTTTCATCAGAAGAAATAATTTTGCATAAAATTAAAAGGATTTCTTCAGGTTTGTTTCTTTTAAGGATAAATTTAACATCATTCATAAAATCTTTTACTGATTGTTTCCTGAATCAATTTCTAACATAACTAATTAGATTCTTTTATTGAACTGCTGGAATAGAAAAGTTTTGAAATAATTTTTGACTGAATAAATAATTTTAATTTTAAGACTATACATTTCAACATTTGTACTAGAATTGGCAAATCTCTCTAATCTGGTTTCAAGTTTTATACAATAGTTGAAAATTTATTACAGAAATTTCACAGAAACTGACGTATTTGAAGTACTGAACTTAAATAACCATACCATGGACGAAACTTTAAAATACAGTGATATTTTTAATTTTTAAATATTTTCTAACTAACTAGCACTAAGATTAAACTTGATATATGCAATTAATATAAAATTCCATGAATAAAATATACTTGTATTATTCTTCTAAATCATAATTCTACCAGAATTATTTAACAAACTATTTTACAAGTATTAGACTTAAATAAAAAGATGACATATTGTAATGCATAAAAACATGTTATAAATTTTTAAATATATATATATAATCAGTAAATCAGTAATAATATATATAATCAGTTAAAAATTATAAATTTTAACAAAATATATAAAGTCATGTTAAATATAAAATTCAAAAAAACTAAGTACCAAAATTTTGATTTGTATCATCTCTTTCACTATTTATATCCAAATCATCACATTCTTCTTTCTGTTTATATACTTTGGCTAAAGGTTTTGGTTGTAACACCACATCATCTTCAACTGAACCTGTTGATAATCTACAGGAAAGTTTTTCAGGATTAAGTGCTATAGTTTCATATAATTTATTAATTAATAAGTTAATGAATTATCTTTAAGTTAATGTTTAGCTTACAATATAAATGCAAAATTTTTCTGCAAATATAAAAGTTCTACAAATTAATTATTCTTTTCACTAACTAAAACACATTTATTACTTTCATATGTATATTTGACTATGTTTTCAAAAAATTTGAGATAAAATTTTGAAAAATAAGATATTCAAACAGATTGCAGTAAAAATGACATAAAATTGTTTATGAATTACATGGTGATTATAATTAAACCAAGTCTATTCAAAGCCTGCTGGGCCTAGTTCTAATGGACAATGAAACTTGGTATCTATGCTATTCACACAAGCAAAAATAGATTTCTGGGAAACAAAAATTAATACAAATTTTTGCCACTAGGTGATATATGGCACTTCAAGATCAAGTACAGTGATATAATGTTACGCAAATTACTGGAGAAAATATTGTGTCTAAGCTATGGTATATGCAGCATATTGCCAATATTTCTTCCAAAGTGTTTCATGCAACAATTGATCATTCCATATTACACTTCCAATATGTAATTGATACAGATGACTTGTATATTGAACAGATGACTTGTATATTGAACACAAATTAAACTTACTTTCTTGTTGTTATAACATAACATAGGAAAGTATTGTAATGATGTCAAATTTGACACTCCAGATTTTTTGCAAATCCATATATAAAAGAAATTTTTTTTTTTGTAAAGTATCAGATTTAGATAAAAAGTTTTTCAGTTATATAATTCAATACAGCAATAAGTACATCTGCAAAAATAATGCAAAACCTAGTACCACAAACTATTTAATTAGTTTTTGAGATTTGAAATTTTTCTGGTATTGTAATCAATGTCCTGCTTTAATTATACCATTTTGTTTTTTCTCTAACAAGTCTACTTATATTAAAATATTTCTTATCAGTGTGTGAATCAGAGATTTTATTACTGTTTAACAGATTTATTTATTTTGCAATTCAGTGTAGTTATTTTCTAATATATTTCAAAAAGTAAAAAAAAATCTAATAAAAAAAATATAATTTACACAACTGAAGTTATTAAAAAAGAAAGTTTGAAGTCTTTTTCATTTATTCATTAATGCCTTTTTATAGATTCTGTTGGTTTAAATGGAATATAGAAAATGAAAAAATTTTTTAGAATAAAAATGTTAACATTGTGTGATAATTAGAAATCATATTATTCAAAGCTTTCCTAAGGAAACTACTCTGATAAGAGTAAAAAGTATTTCTATAAAGTAAATCAAGTAATTGTTTTCCAGATTAAAATGAATTTAAATTAAATCATCAATTAAATTCACAATAAAGCCTAAGTGGACAAAATTAGAGAAAACAGATTTATTTTTTAAGCTTTATCTCTACAGTTAATGCAATCTTTAATCTATAGACATTTATATTTATACAAATTTGATTTACAAAAAAATGAATATATTAATGAAACATCTTACTTCTTATTATGAATTACTGTATTATTAAATTCATTATTCCATTCAGCATCTACATTTATTATTTCATGACTATCAGCTTCTTCTTCTAATTTTTGCTGAGCAATTAATCCTAAACGGTCTGCCAAAGCAAGATGATGCCTTTGAGAAGCATACCGAATAGCTCCCTCAACTATTCTGTGTGATGGCATCAATTCTGCAATTTCTAAAGCTCTAAATTCCCGATCTGATCTAGTTGCAAGCTAGAAATATTCTGAAGTTATAGGCAACAGAATAATATATTATTTTTTTATTAAATAATAAATAATGATACTTACTGCAAACATTCTCAATAAGCTATCTGTTCTCTTTTTATCAGCATTTTCTATTTCAGAATCTACATCAAAGCCATTTTTAGATAATTGTTTGAGTAATTTATAAAGAAGACTAATTCTCCAAAATTCTTCCTATAACAGGTAAAAAATAAAGAAAAATTATAGCATCAAAATCTATATAAAATCATTAAATATTTTAATTAAGGATCATTCTACTGTATTGACTATTATGTAATGAACAACATTTATTTCTTTTTCATTGTATTGATATAAGAATAAAACAAAAGATTTCAAAATAAATTTATTTATATAGAAAAACATAAATAGAAATAATATTTATTCACTAAATGCTGAAAATTTAATAATATATGATCTATAAAATAAAATAGTGTTTGCTTTCTTTATGAAATTTGGCAAAAACTAACAGCCTAGAAAAAACATTATAACAGATCTGTACTATAAAATATCATTTAATCAACATTGAAAAATATTATTATTTTAATTTAGAAGTAACAGAATTTGGTTGAAAAAGCCAATAATCTTTTTAAGAATATTTAAAAATATCATTATTATTAAAAAGATTGTTGGCTTGGTTATTCTGTTATTTTTATATCAAAATACTTTTGTCACATTTAGCATAATTGTGATTAATATCTGATTTTAAAATTATCTTACAGTTATTTCTTTTACTACATTATTGTTCATACATCATTATTTATTAAAATATAAATAAATATAAAAAAATATAGTTTGTTGTATAAGTACAATTTGTCCAATATTTGTGTCATTAAATACTGATAACTGAATAATTTACTATTTTTTTATATTCTGTAACTTTGAGAAAATGATTCATATTTATCAGTTAGTTCTTCAATTATAAAATCTTGATAAAATAAACCCATTTACTTATTCTAAAATCTTATGACTTATATTAATGAAATATAAATTAATAAATTTGTTAATCTTATATTAATAACAAATATTAGTATCAGAAAATCTCAATAAAATAACCTCTGATATATAATTTGAAGAAAAGAAGTTTCTACTGATGATATTAAATAGCAGAAATAAAACAGATTATAATAATGAAAATGAATAACAAGTGTATAATACACAGAAAAGATTATGACTTTATTATATTTATTTAATGCAATAAATATAAAAGACTCCTTATATTTTATATTTTCATTCACATTTTAATTTATATTATTCTTTATATTCATTAGAGATTACACCATATGATTTTTTCTTTCTTCACTATTAAAAGAAATAGCATTTAAAAATAAGATTAAATAATATGGATATCCAATGTAAATAAAGTTGGTTAATTAGTATATTTTATTATTATTATGATGCAAATGTCTCACTCAGCTGATACTGGTACCAAATGCCATGTCTGACTAAAGTCAAGGCCCAATTACCCTGCTGCTGCTATTACTACTACTATTATTATTATTATTATTCTGATACTGGTACCAAATGCCATGTCTGACTAAAGTCAAGGCCCAATTACCCTGCTGCTGCTATTACTACTACTATTATTATTATTATTATTATTATAACAACAATTATAATGATAGAGAATAGAAATGATATAAGTTATTAGATAAGGTGGAATCAGCAATCCATTTTCTTTACTCTTAATTTACAGACTCATTACAATAAAAGAAAGAATATCTGTTATTTGTATGTAAAGTATAGATTATAAAAACAGGAGGAAGAGCCAGAATTGTAAGTCTATCTTCTATTCTAAATATGGAAATAATGGGTTGGCTATTATTTATTTCATTTACTATTTTGTTATTTTATTATTAAAAAGAATGAATTTAGTACTTGACTGCTTCTTGTTCTTTCATTTCTTCTTTCGAAGTAAGCACAAAATTGCTATGTAAAACTTATTGTATAGGAATACTTTTTGATGAATAATGTACTTTATTTTATAAAAAGAAAATGCATTTTGGGCTATTTACCCCTCTTCAGTCCTTATTGTACAATTTGCTGGAACTACGGAATAAACTATGGTAAAATTAACAACTATTTATATCAGACACATAAGTAATCTAGTTTTTTGTGGGTTTTACATAAATGATATTTAATACCGATAGCTGGAGTAACTAAGTATTTTAAAACAAAGGGATAAAACAAGTAAAACTAAGATAAATTAAAAAATAAATTAGATAACATGATTATAAAATACAGTGGTGCCTCATATTTCAAATTTAATTCATTCCTGAAGGCTTGTTTGAACTGTGAAAACAAAAGAAAAGTTTCTCTGTGACTTTCAACCAAATAATTTTTTTTTTTTTTTATGTTAAATTCAAAGGAAGTTCCTGAGGAGAGATGTAGATGCCGATATCAATTCAACAAGGAAGTTCCTTGTTACTTCTCTCCTTAGGTGACACAAATTGTCCCTAATCATTGGATGGACAAAATCCTATAAATAGGGCCAAACATGAACAGCCCAGTGCTGGAAAACCTAAATTCATGGACAAGAAAGTTCACATCTGGACCAAAAGAGTTTCCCACCAAATGCAGGAACCATGGCTAGCCCCTTCAAAGAGTCAGAAGAATATAAGGAACAGAAATGAGATATTATATTTGACTCAAATACTTGTGAATTCTCTCTTATTGGAGACTAATGCAGTCAGATAATGAAGTAGTTGATTTATTAATAGTTGTTGAATTAGAACTTAGGGAATATTACTTTATTTAGATTTTTGTGTTGTCAATCGTTTTTGTTAATAAATACATTGTTGTAATCTAGAAATAACAGTCTAGTTTTATGGTGTAACTCTATCGTCTTACCCACAATCAAATTAATTTCTTCAATAAATTCTAGAAGCTCAATTAAATGTTCATTTGTGTCTTAGTCCATGTAATTGACTAAGTGGTGTCAGGAATTCAGATTTGAGAGATTCAACTGATCTCTCAAAACAAAGTCATCACAAACATGTAATGGGATCAACTGGAGCCCCAAATATCTCACACCATGATTAATAAATAAAGGTTATAGTGGGTTGAACAGAAAGTTTTTGTGTATTTTTAACAGTTAATATAGATGTGCAACTTAATTATAATAGTTATAAATTTTAACATATTATTGCTAATTTGAGATTTTATTCTTTGTTCAGAAGCTTATTTTATGTTTCCAATGCATTTTTTAATTCCATATGCAGTTTTGTGGCAATATGCCATAAATTTGTATATATGTCTTTAGTGTTAAGCCTAACATTAAGTTTCCTTAGTCTTTTGTTCTATATCTTGAGAAAAAGATATAGGATAAAAGACTAAGGAAACTTCTTTTCTTCCTGAAAACGTGTTACCACCAGCAGGAAGGAACGCTCTTTCCTTCCTGCTGGTGGTAACATGTTTTCGGAGAACTACACTTAAAAACAATAGTGTGTAAAAACCCTGAGGTGAGGTGGGGAGAGAGATAACCATTCTTGAGCTAGCATTCAGAAGAAGCAGAAGAAAAAAGGAAAAGGTTCAGGTTGTAGTTGTTGAGTGAGACGTAGAGATCTTAGGTCGTCTGCAGAGAAAAGAATGAGATAGACGGACATTAAAATTGAAAGTTTGATGAATACTTAGAAATCATCAGATCTGAGATAGAGAAAAAGACAGCAAGAAGTGAATTCAGTGCAAGTCCCCATTTTGAGAAGAGTGAAGATCAAACAAAGGAAAAACCCGGTTACCCCCACCAGCATATTCTTTTCTTTACTTATTATTCTTACCTCTCATCTCATCCTTTCCTTCTCTATTTCTCCTTTAGAATATAAGTTAGTTTGAGATAGTTTAAGTTAGTTGTAATATTTCGGAAAAATATCTCAACAGGAAAGAACCATTGTTGCAAAAACATGTCACCCTCCTTTGTTCACACAAAGATCTATAACAGCAAAATCTTATATATATTGGAGTTGCATAGTTGGGATCTTGAAGAATCTAGTGTATATAAAACTGCACAAACAGTTAATAAAATATTTTATTGTGTACAACCTTGTATTGTATTGTTTGTCCATGTGCTCACCACAGTTTGAACTTTGAAGCATCATTCAAACTCCAAAGCAAATTTTTGTTGAATTTAGCATTTGACCTCTGGAGCGTTGGAAATATGAGATATACTGTATTATTAAAATGTGATAAAAGAGTAACTTTTATGTTTTACGACTATACATAGTATACTCGTAAAACATAAAAGTTAAAACTTGCTAAAAAAAATTAAAAAATTGGCCAATAAAAAAAACCTTAAAAAGAGTCCTTGTATGATAAGTTCTACATAGCAATTTTGTGTTTACTTCCAAATGAGAGTGAATTTTATAATCTCATGGTAAAAAAATACTTTTTCCATAAGGATCAGTAAGTAAATTATTTGATATAATTTTTATTCTTTAGTTTTGTTAATTTCTTCACAATAATGATGAAAACTTACTTACTTCATACTGCCCTTTATCTGTCTGTTGTTCACATAATGGTAATTGGAATGGAAGCACTGTCACAGCTGGTCGAGGTAAAGTTGGAGGATATCTTGATCCCTTACATGGAATACATCTAAAATTTCAAATCACTGTTATACAGTGTGATCACAATAATAATAGAATAACTTAATAAAGATCTTCATCAAAAGTAATTTATGATTTTTAAATCAAAACAAATCTACAAATTACTTTTATTAAAAAGTCAGAAAATTTTAATGTTAGATAAACATTTTCAACAAAGTTTCTTCTTTCAATTCTATAGTTTGTAAATGAACAAAATAAAACATTGCTTATCCATAAGTTGTTAATCAGTAAGATAAACCAGACACATTATTAAATTATTATTTTTTAAGTGAGAAACGGTTAACACCTCACAAACATAGACTTAAATTGTTTTGAATTGTCTTTTCTGAGAATAAAAACTCTACATCTATCTCACTTCAACAATTTTATAAAATTGTAATTATAAGATACAATAAATTAATTCAAAATAGGCTAGTAATAAACAAGCAAAGATAAATAAAATACATTTTTTTTTAAATCTGAATAAAAGAAAATATATAAGTTAACATTCAGAATTCTATTATTTATAAACCTAGATGTATCACAAGCACAGTTGAATTACATTCTTAAATCACTTATGACTATCTATTATAAAAATATTCTCTCATCAAAAATCCTGTTAGTTTAAAGTTTTTAGAAAATGATTATTATACAGACAGAAATAGTACTTAACTATAACAGTTAGCCTTTATAAAAATATTTTTATATGTTAACAAAAAGTCATTACTTCTTCAAATTTTCCTTACCTAATATTTTGCTGAATTTCACTAATTCCAATAACAAAATAATGATCAGATTTTCCTTTCGTCTGAAATTCAGAATTCAATTATTTTAATAATTTCTGCAAAAAATTTTAAAAAATTATTTTTACTATATTGTTGCGGGAACAAACAGCAACCAGTCGTTAGGAACACAAAAGTATTTATTAACTCAATGTACAACTCCTGCAGCTTGCAGTACGAGAACAAGAACCGCTCTCAGCCTGAGAGCTGGCTGTTATATACTACAGAGACATAGTAGAAACATGATAATTTGTTAGTATTTACATATGTTCTCAGACCGGGAGAACGTATCCACAAAAAAAAAAAAAAGAACCTGCATCAATGAGGTTTGAACCGGAGACCTTCGCTCGATAGGCGAAGCTGCTAACCTCTACCCCATGAATGACACAGTGGGAAGAGTGAGCCGCGGCAATATTGAACTATTTAATATTTGCTTATTCCTCTGTTTTGTTTCTTTAGAAAATTAATTTAAATAGAATTAACACATGTTCAAGATAAATTTTTTGTTAAAATTCAGATATAAACTTATATCATTACAGTCAAAGCTCTTTACAACAAAAGAATAATCATATCTTGGTTGATATAATGTATCTGTATATAAAATTAATATAGATGATGTAAAAAAACAATTAGACAATCATATGCACATGAAGATAGTGAAGAAGAATGAAATCTATCACTGACCAAAGCTACTGAGTGCATAAGAAAAACATCTACTAAACAGAAAACTGGGCAAAGAAGATATACCATATTGGTCCAATATAAGTCAATTCCCAATTTTGGAATCCTTACTTTTTGAATAAGAATTAGGATCTGAATATAACTTGACCATTTATTATTAATTTTATTTAAATACAAAAAATTAGCAATCTGCATTCAAAATTTTGGAAAGTTATTGAAACTCTCCCACTTTTATTGTCATCATTCCCACTTCTATTTCATTGCCATTATGCTCTTTTCACTCTCTTCTACAATTTTAAAATAAAAATTCTGTTAAAACAGTTTAACAAAAATATTTAATAACAAACTGTTTTAATGGATTCCTTATATTTTTTATATTGAGTTTCCACTGTATACATGTTTTATAAAAACATAATTAGATATTAGACATTTATTTCTTGATACTAATGGAAAATATTATTAAGTACAATACTAATTTATATATTTTATAATCTCTAAATATATTTTATGACATTTGAAAATAATAATGAAATTTTCAAAAATATACTGGAATAGCAATTTTAGGAAACTTTGGTTGGAATACCTAGCCTGCGCAAGTCTATATATTGGATTGTTCGGAAAGTAAGTTTGTGTTTTTTTCACGGAAAAAAACAATATTTTTATAATAAATAAATATTTTATTGAATTATATATCAACCATTTTGGTCCAATACCTGTTGCCATCTTTCTGGTAGTAGCATGATTTCACATTCATAAAAGTTTTGATTGTTGCTTACAAAAAACTGATCCAAGTGATTTTTGACATTGTCATTTCAAGTATATATCTTACAGTTAAAAAAAATTTGTATAGACTGGAACAAGTAATAATCTGAGTGTGCTTGATCTAGCACACTTCATCTAAGTTATAACAGTTTCTGACAAGTTACCAAACTTGTGTGAAATTTGACATTATCGTGGTAAAACACTACACCTGTTTTGTTGATCAATTCTGGCC